TCCACAGCTGGCAGGCTCACTTCTGCTGCCGCGGTGAGTCTCACTTTGGAGAAGTCCTTCAGATCCACTAGTGCACATACTAACAAATTCTCCAGGGTCACACTCTCAGTGGGTACACAGTGAATGTCAACTGACTCAGTAACCTTTTCCCAACCTTCACGTAAGATATACAGCATTAAATATCATCCAATCTTATCTTGACCCTGGAATGTGGAAAGAGTTTCCTATTGAATATCACACAAGTGAATTTACTGCAACAGTTGTAGTATCAACCTGAGGCAAAATTCAGGTCAGTAAATCAAAGTGAGTTTTGAAATAAGAAAGAAAAAAATATACAATAAAGGCTCTATTAATAATTATTTAATTCTTTGTCTAATTTCTCACCATAGAAATATTGCTAATTGGCATTTAAAAAAATTTTTTTCCTTTATTGATTTTAGAGAGAGAGGAAGGGAGAGGGAGAGAGAGACAGAAACATCGATGAGAGAGAACATCGATTGGCTGCCCCCTGCATGCCCCCTACTGGGGATCGGGCCCACAACCTGGGCATGTGCCCTGACCAGGAATCAAACCAGCAACCTCTTGGTGCATGGGTCAACGCTCAACCACTGAGCCACAGTGGCCGGGCACTAATTGACATTATTTAAATAAAAACGAGCCATTACTACCCAAAGAAAGTTGCACACAACTAGTTGTTAAATTCTTAAGCTGCCTTATTTTAAAATCTGAATTTTTATCTGGTGTATTTACTGAGCAGGCTGGTATACTTCAATTCTCCTCTTTACTGTATCACTGACTGTGGACATATTTATCCAGTATGCTCTCTCCAGGAAGGGGCTGTCTGGGATCAATTCAGCCTGCAAGAAACCAAGGCAGAAGACAAGAATGCCTCATTTAAAAAAAAAAAAGAAAAGTTTTTCTTGACTTTAGAGACAGAGGAAAGGAGAAGTAGAGAGCGAAACAGCAATTGGCTGCCTCCTGCATGCCCCCCTGCCTGCAACCCGGGCATGTACCCTGACCGGGAATCAAACTGGCAACCTCCTGGTGCACAGGACAATGCTCAACCGAGCCGTACCAGCCGGGCGACAGGAATGGCTCTTGCCCCAAATGCTACCGTGTGGAAGGGGCGGGGAGCACCGGAGACGGTTACCTAGGCAGAGGCTGCAGAGAAGTGTCCCCCAGGGCCCTGTGCTCATCACAGCGGGGCGCTGAGGCGGATGACCAGACCCCAGCTGGGAAACCAGGTGGTCGAGCACAACATGCAGCGCAGGTCCAAACGTGTGGGCTGCATTTTATGTTTCTGAGCAACAGGTCCTGTACTCGGACTGTGTTCATCTAATGAGATCAAGAGGGGGGATGGATGATGTTCCGATACCCTCAACATGGAGCAATTAGTACTCGTGCAGCCTTTTAAGTTCCCTGGGAAGCCTCACATGGGCCATCTCACCTGAGCCTTGACTGTACCCTGAGAGGGAGATACTGAGAGCAGCCACATTTTACAGATGAAGACAGGACAGAAGAAAGTGACTCCGCTGAGGAGCAGCATCTGGGCTGGGCCTTCTCGCTGAGCCCCCGGGAGCCGCCAAGGCTCTGTCTGGACGCGAGGCGGGCCGCGGCTGGAGGAGCGCCTGTGGGTATATGCCTGTGGCCTCAGCGGCTGGCAGTCAGAGCAGCAGTGTCGGGACCCGCCCAGGCAGAGAGCTCTTGGGGAACCTTGAGATCTGTTTCTCACTGAAGAGGTCCTAGCAGAAAAGCAGTGGGAAGTAGTGGCCAAGTATAAAACCTCATTAAGCTGCCCACTGATAAACCTCCAAATGGTTGTTTAATGAAAGATTATAGAGTGGTGTGGGGTATATGGACCAGAAGCAATAGAAAGAGTTTAGGTAAATTTTTATTTAAGCAAAACCAAAAAGCTCTCCTTTCAGAGCTATCTACTTATGCAAATAAATAAGGCTTCTTAGGAGATGCATCTATAAAAATAAAAACTGAAGCTTTTGCTCTTGCCGGTTTGGCTCAGCAGTTAGTGTTGGCCCGCGGACCGGAGAGACCTGGGTTCGGTTCCCGCTAGGGGCACATACCTTGGTTGCAGTTTGTCCCAGGCCCCGGTTGAGGTTGTGTGGGTGGCAACCACTCGATGTGTCTCTCTCACGTCAATGTTTCTCTCTCCCTACCTCTCTGCCTCCCACTCTATCTGAAGATAAATGCAAAAATGTCCTTGAGTGAGGATAAAAAATAAATAAATAAAAACAAGATTTTATTGATGCTGAACCTGTCTCATCCTGCTCAAAGCAATATTCATCAAGAGATACACAAACTAATTACAAAACAAAACATCAGCAAAAAAAAAAAAAAGAATTAAAAAAATGTAAGCCTAATTCACCTCACTGAGGTATTTTAAAAAATTTTTTTTTCTTTATTGATTTTAAAGAGAGAGAGACAGAAGCGTCAGTGAGAGAGAACATTGACTGGCTGCCTCCTGCACGCCCCCCACTGGGGATTTGGCCCACAACCTGGGCATGTGCCCTGACCAGGAATCGAACCCGAGACCTCCTGGCGCATGGGTCGAAGCTCAAACACTGAGCCACACCAGCCGGGCCTGAGGTATATTTTTAATAAAATATGTTTACTTTTAAGTCAAATAGTATACCTTTTTTGATCAACACTATTATTAACAGTAATTGTAACAGTGACTCATTCCAAAAGAATTTTGAGTTTCATGATTACAGGAAATTTTTCCTTTTAAATATCAGTTTATATAAATATTTTTGTTGATGTGAAACATGTTAGGGTCATCACTAAAGGATGTTGAAGCATAAACATATATTACATTAGAATCAAATTTCATGGGTGTAGTGAAACAGAAACATGAGTTTAAGGGGAAAAATGACATAAATATCTGCAAAGAAAGCTTAACGGTTTACTTTTTAAGTGGATGGTGGACATATTAAATTGCTATGATATTTCTTTTTTTCTTTAACTAATTTATTTTTGTTACAGATGTTTCTCCCCCCCCCACACTGATTCCACCTCCCCCTCCCTCCCCACCCTGTCCCCACCTTTGTTGTCCATGTCCATTGTTCATACAGTTGCTATGATATTTAGATCACATTAGTTACTATTAAAAACAGTGAGATAGCAGTTTTATTTTTAAGTAGAACATTTACAACGTAAGGGAAATTGCATCCCCTGCAACTTTTGACACTTAAAATAAAAATGTGCAGCTGCACCAGCACGCCGGAGGGACACACACTTGTTCAGTCTCCAGCCGTGCTGCATGTTTGAGGACCACTGTGCTGCAGGAATATGTCATTCATTGTGACTCATATTTGTGCGAGGAAGGCAGGGATTTCTGAAACCCCGGGTAGAAGACGAAAGCTGCGCCCCAAGAGCACAGGATCACAGCAGTTCATTACTAAAGCAAACAGAACCTACAAGAGGTTTGTGTCTTAGCCACACCTCCTGCTGTCTGATTCTTCTGACTGCATCTGAAATCTACTGGCCAACTCATCGTGCTTATCACACAGATAAGACTTCGGGAAGCAGATGTAAAATAATCGCACAGCTCTGTGTGATTAGCCACACTGTAATAAAACATTTTTTACATATTATAGACACACACACACACACACGAGCACATAATCCTTGACCCCCACTGTAACTCACCTGGCTGACATGGGAATTATATCAGCTTCCCTAATGACTAATCAGGAAGTGACCCCCATGGAACGGCATCTACCTAAAGGAAGAAGACTGGCATTGTACACAGGAAGGGCAACAACACATCAATCAGGAAGTGACACTCTCTCTGCACCATTTAATTTGTCTTTGGGGCAAAGTGACAAAAAAGCACCCAGGTTAAAAATGGAACTGATTTCCAATGAACATTCAGGAAAGAGTATCGGAAAACAGCTGTGCTGAGGCTCTTAGGATGTGGGGTTCTGCTACAAGAGTGCTCAGAAAAAGCTGTACAGTCTAAACCATTGAAACTCCCTAGTGTGAGACTCAGCTCGGTTATGGGAAAGGCCGATGTGGTGTCAGCACTGAACAATCACCCAGCCCGCGTGAAAGAAGGAAATGTTGTTCTGAGTCGCTTGCCAAGGCTGAAGGAAGTCAACAGTGGCGGAAGATGGACCAGCTGCAACAGACCGAAGGATGCGTTCTGGTTTGTGTTTAACACTTACATCTTGAAACAGGTCATTATCTTCAAACTTTGGGTAAATCTAGCTGCATTAGAGAAAAAAACAGAGTGGAGAAGAGACAGAGAGGAAAGGAGGGAGGGAAAGGCCTTAACAGGTAACTGCGAGAAATTCATTTTCATGTCTGTGCATCCTATAGCCCCTTAGAGGGGTATGGATGCTGTTTTCTTTTGAATTCTTAGCGTAAAGTGTAAGAACAGCAGGTCTGGGTTTTCTAATAGTAAATCACTGATTGACAATGTGGTTTTTTTGTTGTTGTTGTTGACTTTTTTTAGAGAGTAAGGGAGAGCGAGAGAGAGAGAGAGAGAGAGAGAGAGCGCGCGCGAGAGAGAGAGCGAGAGAGAGAGAGAGAGAGAGAGAGAGAGAGAGAGACATTGAATGGCTGCCTCTTGCATGCCCCCTACTGGGGATGGAGTCCAAAACCAGGGCTTGTGCCCTGACTGGGAATCGAACCAGCAACCTCTTGATGCCTGGGACAAGGCTCAACCAACTGAGCCACACAGGCCAGGGCTCCAATGGAAAAATTTTTAAGCAAATTACTTGACAACTTAATATAAAGCACTGGCTCCCAATATTTTTAGTAGAATTATTGGTAAGCTTATCATAAGGGAAAATTTCAAAATCCAAAGTCAAAGGGAAGATGCTACGTCGCCTCCATGTACCCATCGCCCAGCTCGTGACCAGTCATTCAGCTACGCTCCACCTCCTCATTCCACCCAGATCTCTCTGACGCAAATTCAAGATATAAGATGATTTGTTTTTGTTTTTAATATAACACATTTGAGGGCCCTCCCCACTTACATTGCAATGGTTGCATTTTTAATAATACTCGATTAAGACAGTTGACATGTACATATGGGTTACTGCCACCCCACTTCCGCCTCTTTGCTGTGACTCTGACATTCCTCCCATCACAGGGATCTGCAGCCCATGGTGGGGATGCTCCTGCATAATAAAAACAGTTGGAAACATCATTAAGAATTGTGCTTATGTATTAGCACCTTTACATATACTCACAAAAAATACTGCTCCTACTGCTTTATTTCTCAGGAACATACCTGTCACAGAAGGTTTACAAACAGATTAGAAAACACAATGTTAGAATTCTTAACAGAACCTTTCTCCTCTGTATCCACCAAACTAGCATTTCTGTGCTATAATATAACAGAGTTAACACAGGCTACTGCTTTGCAAAAGTTGTTACCTCTACCAGCTGTTGAGGGGCCTTCATGACATTGACATGACCTATGAACAGAAGTCCAGACCCTCGTGGACGGGAACCTTTGCCCAGTACCGCTCCCGAGCTCGCACGCTTGCTGGCCGTCTCCCCAGGGCGCTGAGGAACCAACAGGCGAGGGCTGTGTTCACGCTGGGAATGGCAGGCCCACACTGCGGCCGGGGTACACTGTGCACTTCCTGTACAGAAAAGCAGGGCTGTGAGGCCAGAGCTTCTCTCACATGTGAAATTCACTTTTGTAAGAAAGGGGGAAAAATCTCTCTTCTTTGTATGAGAGGGATAATGTCTTTCGTTTCCTTGGTACGGGTCACTGAAAGCTCTTTCCTGATTTCTGCTCAGTGCACGCATGTAGTACTGATTAATGCTAACGGGATTCACATGTTTAAAAAAGAGTACACTTGATCTCATGATTGTAGCTATCATTCCAAAAATTTGTCACTGGATTTATTGGTATGCATTTAATCTGGGTCAATTTAAGCTCCTAACTTTTTTAAATGAACAGAATTATTTCCATTAAATCATATTTGACACTGCTTATTGCTATAAAGAGAAAAAATTATAGTAGTATTACATTTTCACTTTATTAGTGAAACACAGTCATCTCCAATTGAGTATTTTCTAGTTACACAGAATATTCTGTTTTGTAATTATAAATTTCTGGGGGAGAGGGGGGAATGCCATTGTTTGAAGATTCCAATTTTAGTTTATTTTTCTAAATGTATCCATTATGAAACTGAGCGAACAGAATACATAAGATAATGAAATCTTGCTTACAGAGCACAATGTCTTTCTGAAACACAATTCAGACATGAAATAAGACAATCTCCTTTTCAACCAGGGAAATTATTATCTGCTTCACATGTGCCGTATTAATTAGATTATGCCCAAATCCTAGTAGTTTGCATAATTGTATTTAATTTGCCAGAGGGAGTAGATTGTAGCATCGGGCCTCTGCGGAGAGAATGCTGTTTAGTCAGCAAAAGCAAATCACATTCTAAAGAAACTAAAATGCATTTGTGGTTTTAGGATAGTAATACAGAGCCTTCTTTTCAGAGGCCTAATTTGAATAGATCCCCATTCACGCCCACAAATGCACCTGGCTAAATATTTATAATCATGGAAAATGGTTAAACATTGGTGAGAAGCTCATTTATTTTGTCCCTTTCCGGTTTAGTGTCAACTCCGTTTATGCATTTTCTGGTCACTTAGCTAATCTATCATTAAAATACAAAATTTCAGACCCTGAACTTTTGTCCATTACTTCTTTTTTACACTGACCTTCAACAAATAGCCAGCCGGACATTTCTCCAGCAACATGGGTTTATTCAGGAACAGCAAAGAATTGCAATTTGGGACATGATGTTTAATGGCAAATCACATGCAAGTCTAGAGACAAAGGAAAGAGACAGCCCAAGGAGAAATAGAAACCACCAATCAAATACCTCCCCCCTTGCCCTGGCCGGTTTGGCTCAGCGGTTGGAGCGTCGGCCTGCGGTCCTGAGAGACCCGGGTTCGGTTCCCGCTAAGGGCACGTACCTCGGTTGCAGTTTGTCCCTGGCCCTGGTCGGTTGTGCGGGTGGCAGCCACTCGATGTGTTCCTTTCGCATCGATGTTTCTCTCTCTCTCTCTCTCTGTTCCTCTCTCTCCCTCCCACTCTACCTGAACAAAAAATGAAAAAATGTCCTCGGGTGAGGATAAAAAATAAATAAAATACCTCCCCTCTTCATTATGCAGAATCACCCCACCTTACCCCTCGACCAATCAAGTACCTCCCCTCTTTGTTCCTCCACCTCCCCTATAAAACTTTCCTGGCTGGACATAACAGCGCGACTTCCCTGGCCCGAACCCCGGACCAGCGAACCTCACCCGGGAGCGCTCCAATAAAACTTTCTTGCCTGCTTTTGCAGCTCCGTTTCTCTTTTTTCCTCAGCGAGATACCTTACATTTGGTGCCGAAACCCAAGAGGAGCTTGAGCCCGCCTGGGCTGCTCCTCTCCCTCCCTCCCGAGGAAGATGAGGAACCACCGCCCTCCTACCTAGTTCGGCATACAATGTGCTAAGTCCCCCTGCCTCTGGCCTCCCCTCAGTTCTCCGCCTCAGGGCTCCCTATCCATAATCGCATCTGCGCCAGAGCCCTCCTATCCGTTCCAGGGGCATGGGGTTCCATGGAGACGTCCCGGACGCTCCCCACTCTATCTGTCCATCCAGTGACCAGAGATTGAGTTGTGGGATGCCACTTCTCATCTCTTATCATTCCAAGACTGAGGCTGACCATGGGCAATCAGGAATCTCAACCGAACTCAGAGACACCGCTAGGGTGTCTCATACTAAATCTCTCAAAGATAGATCCCTCCCTAAAGAGGAAGAAACTTACCTTCTTCTCCACATGGCCTGGCCACAATATCCAATAGATAATCTGTCTAAATGGCCTCCTGAGGGACTTTCAATTTTAACATACTCACTGACTTACAAAACTTTTGCCAAAGAAATGGGAAATGGCCGGAAGTCCCTTACGTTCAGGCCTTTTGGCACTTGCGCTCCTGTCCTAACCTGTGTGCCTCCTGCTCCAGGGTCCTCCAAGACAAGGACACTCCCTCCAGACCCTCCACTCTTGATCTTTCCTCGTTTGCTGACCCCTACAAGAACTTTCTCACCGCCATCCGGCCTGATCCCACTCCCAATTCTCCTCCGCCATACCCAGGTCTGTCTTCCCCTAACCGCTCTTTGCCTCCAGCTTCTGACCCCGCTCTCCCCTCCCCTGTCAGCGCCCACACCCAATCACATTGTGCCTCACAGAAAGAAGTCAACCTTCTCTCCGTGAAGTGACGGGAACAGAAGGGGTAGTTGGGGTCCATGTTCCCTTCTCTCTTTCTGACCTATCTGCCATTGAAACACGCTTAGTGTCTTACTTGACTAACCCCACTGCCTTTGCCAAAGAATATGGATACCTCACTCAAGCTTATGACCTCACCTGGCATGATCTCTATGTCATGTCTTCTACTCTCACCCCTGACAACGCGACCGTATCCGGACGGCGGCAGGGGCCTATGCTGACCAGGCACACATCACAGACAACCAAATGCCCGTCGGGACTCTGGCGGTCCCGAGGCAGAACCCAATTGGACTTACCAAGCAGGACAGGACAGTAGACATAGACAAGATCAGATGGTCCAATGCCTTTAGCAGGCATGCAGAACGCAGGCCCAAAGGTAGTAAATTATGATACAAAGGGAGATCACTCAAGGACCTGATGAAAATCCGGCATTTTTTCTTAATCGTCTGACCGATGCTATGATTCTCCACACCTGACTAGACCCTACTTCAGTGGCGAGGGCTATAGTCCTAGCTACACATTTTATCTCCCAATCAGCTCCAAACATTAGAAAGAAACTTAAAAAGGCAGAGGAGGGCCCTCAGACCCCAATCCGAGAACTGATAAACATGGCATTTAAAGTCTTTAATGCCCAGGAAGACGAGGCTGAGGCCACACGTCAGGCCCGAATGTAGCAGAAGGTAAACCTCCAAACCCAGGCTCTAGTGGCAGCCCTGAGGCCGGCAGCCCAGCACGGGTAGGGTATGGGGAGCGCCTGACCTAAGGAACAGAAGGTCTCTGGGCCACCAAAGGGAACTCCATCAGGGCCCTGTTTCAAATGTGGCAATGAAAGCCACTGGGCCTGTCAGGGTCCATGCCCACTGCCACCTACGAAACGTGCCAGGCTGCAAATAGCCTGGTCAATGGTGTAGCTATTGCCCCTTCCAGGCGACGGGCTCATCCTCGGCGCCTCCACGCGGGGGACAAGCTGGCCAAGCGGGCCCATCGCTTGAACTCCTCGGCCTCATGGACGACTGATGCGGCCCGGACTCGAGGACCCCATCACCCTCACTGAGCCCAGGGTAACGCTACAGGTAGCGGGTAAGCCCATCTCATTCCTGGTGGACACGGGGCTACCGTCTCTGTTCTGCCGTCTCACTCCGGGCCTCTGGTTCCTTCTCAGGTCTCGGTAATGGGAAGTGATGGGACGCCCTCCTTCCCCCTCGAACTCGGCCTCTCTCACACATGCTGGAAGGCCACCATCCTCACAGTCCTTTCTAGTCATGCCCCTTGCCCGACACCTCCTTTGGGCCGAGACATACTCCACAGCCTTGGAGCCACCATCCCACTGACCTCTCCCCGGTGGGCCTCCTTCCCTCACTCTCTCACCTTCCCCCCAACTCAACCCTGCCCCCTTACTTCCGATTCTGGCCATGCTACCAGGACCTACCCTCTCCTGTCCAGAACTGACAGACTCTCTCAGCAGACCCCGGGAGGGTCTGTCTGACTCACCTTTAGAAAACCCGGACCTTATCCTTTTTGTAGACGGGAGTTCAGCACTGGGGCCCGATGGGTTGCGGCGGGCGGCCTACGCCGTAGTCACTGACTGCTCTAGGGGCCCAGTGCCTTCCAGATGACACCACTTCCCAAAAGGCTGAACTCACAGCCTTACCTGGGCACTCACTCTAGCCCGAGGGAAACAGGTAACCATCTACACTGACTCTAAATGTGCCTTCCTCATCACCGTAGCCACTCTGCACTCTGCAGGGAACGGGGATCCCCACATGTAGGGCCTAACACCCTTTACCGCTTTCTGCAGCCACTCTTTCCTCCCAGGCCTCCAGCGAGCTACTGAAAAAGTACACGCGGCTGCACTATCTGTTCCAAGACCTTTCCTCAAGAGGGTCTCTGCCCCTGATTCCCTACCCACCAAATGAGAGGACATCAGCCAGCCCAAGACTGGCAAGTTGATTTCACCCATATGCCTCCCCACAAAAATCTCCACTACCTCCTAACCTTTGTTGATACCTTTTCAGGGTGGATCGAGGCCTTTCCCACCCCCCCAGGAAACAGCAGACAGCGTCGTCTCTATCCTCATTGACCAGGTCATCCCACGCGTTGGACTGCCTACGGCCATTCAATCAGACATCAGGCCTCCTTTACTGCTCAAGTGCTTCAGCAGGTAGCGAACTCCCTTAACATCGCCTGGAAACTCCACATACCATGTCATCCCCAATCATCTGGTAAAGTCGCAAGGGCCCATGGTATCCTAAAAACCACCTGAGCAAACTTTCTCTTGAGGCCAAACTCCCCTGGCCGGTCCTTCTCCCTCTCGCTCTCACCAGGACTAGAGCTACTCCGTGGGGCCCTACAGGGCTCGGCCCCTTTGAACTGCTTTATGGGAGACCGTTTCTAATTAACCACAATTTCCCCATAAACCTCTGGCCACATACCTCCCTTTTCTATCGCTGCTCTGCCATCTCTTGAGGGAACATGCAGATCGGACCCCCCGGCCTATAGGGGGCCCCAAGGGTGCCCAGCCAGTGGTTCTCCTTCAGCCAGGAGACAGCGTCCTCCTACGAGAACTCCAGCCTCACTCCTTGCAACCTCAGTGGACGGGACCCCATACGGTAACATTAACCACCCCCATGGCGGCCAAACTCCTGGGACAGACGCCCTGGTACCATGTTTCCCGTCTCAAACTGGCCCAGACTCAAGACCACTGGCAATATGAAACCTTGGGCCCCACCAGCCTCCAGATTACCCGGAGCCCGGCTGCCTTGGCCCCTTCTCCTTCTCCTGATCCTTATTCCAGGAATTCCCAGTAAGACTAACCAGATCCAGGCCTACGTCTGGCATTTCTATGTACAAGAAAGCTGGACTGAAGGTGGGACAACCCACACCCACTTCCTAACCACAGCGGGCTGCCAGCCTGGGGGCTGCCAAGCAGCGGTCACCATCACAGCCCAGATGTCAAGAATGAAAAGCGCACCTGATTCCGTAGCTCCGCCATTTGTTTCCTGCACAAACAGACCCGGGATCACTGCTGCGGTGGCCTGGGATGTTGGGGGCTGCCCCTACTGGGCCTGTGCCATAAACTACCTCGGGCCCTCCAAATTTAAACTTATCATCAAAGACCCCCAGGACAGAAATGGGTAAAAGGTGCAGAAGGAAAAGTATACAGATGGCACGCGGACAACTACCCCTCAGGTACCTTAAAAATCTTCTGGACCGATACCCCCATCATCCCAGAACCCATAGAACAACTGGGACAAATGTCCAATACCACCCTACATAATGAAGCCGCCCAGGATAGTCACCTGCAACCCCGAAAAGACCCGTTCTCCTGGCTGGCCCTGATACGTCAAGGGGCAGAAACCTTGGCTCACTCCGGGCTGGGCAATGTTACCGGCTGCTTCATGTGTGCTTTTCTTGGCCGTGCACCCCTCACGGCAGTTCCCCTAACCCAGGGCTTCAACGACTCGACTGCCCAGCCCACCCTTTCCTCCACTAATAGAGGTACCCCTATTCTAGGAATTCCTCACCCAAAACTTCTCTGTTACATAGGCTCTCCC